TTTGCACATACATATCACTGTAGGACTGAATCGAAGCCATTTTAATGCAAGAAGTGATTATGTTCATGGATAAAACTCTAAAAAGCGTAACTTCGAAACATACAGAGGAGCTTCTTAGAGGTTTGATCACTGTAAAGAGAGAGACTCTAAAAACTACAAAAACTATTCACATGCGGAAAAGTGTGTAAAAAATGAGGGGTAAGAGCATCAGTTGCCAAGAGTTGAAAGTGAAGAGCAGAGGTTGAGATTAAATCAGTCGAGGGGAGTAGAAATGAAGAAAAAAACTGAAGTCTACTAAAACAAAAAAATATTTACTTATATGAAATGATAAAACTGTATCAGAGGGGAAAGTACTCTGATTAAAGTGATAACTGCTCATAAATATGAGGCCTGTGATGATTTAGAGTTTTAAATGGGTTCGGCTCCACGGGTGTAAAAGATGACAACTAAGAATGAAACTATAATAAAATATTAAAAACAAAATGATAGAGATAGATAGATTTTTTCTGGCACAGGACAGGCCTTTGGGTTGAGACTGTATCACAGTTTGCATGATTGATCCACATACAGTAAAAGCAGTGTGTCTGTTTTACCTTATTTGACACACATCGATGCATTTTCCTGTTATTTCTGACTATTTGACGAACAAATAAAAATCCGTTCCGCTTGTGCGAATGAAATCTAAATTACCAAAACTGACTAAAAACACAAAATATGAATCAAGCAGCATTACAAACAAACACACATTGTACATTATAGTTCTGCTTTAACTTGACTTGATGGTTTCGTTGCTGATTTCATGAGAGATGTTTCTCCCTCGAGCTCTGCACGACACCCGTCTATATCATAGTGCACTCAAGGTTGGGATGTTATTTAACAGTTGGTCTCTTCTGGTACAAACATGGGTACAAAGTGTTCCACTGCAGGATGTCCGTCTGTCACGTTCTCCGTCTAGCCACAAGGGGGCAGCAAAAGATCATTTCAGGGCAGATTGCGAACCGTAAATACACATAACTAACCTGTTTTATCTGGATCAAAACAGAGGAAATGTAATTCAATTCAGCCTGAAAGATCTACTGACTCTTGGCATCATGATGAAAAACAAAACAAAGTGTAATGTTTAGTCATCAAGCAACTATTCACTGCCAGGCGTAATGATTATTATGAGACTTGAAGTTGGTGGCAGCCAAGTGTTTGGGCTTTATTCTACATTGCTGCAAGTGCCTCAAAACAGGGATACCCAGATTTGATTTCTAGCCAGTCTACTGTATGTCATTCCCCTGCCCTGTAACTATCCAATGGAAGCAAAAAAAAAAATACCAACAACAACAAAATCTCTTTAACTGAAGAATTTACTGCAGGCACTCAGTCCACTCGGCTGGAATGTCCGTCTAACTGCACTGTGGGATTGCTGGAAGGTGTAAAGTAGGGCAGGGGGACACAGGAGAGCCTGTCAGAAGTTATATATGGAAAAGAGAGCAGCAGGCGGACACTGTACCATCTTATAGGGTACAATGCAACCACAAGTTCCAGAGAAAGAAGCAGCTGTAAGGAAACAGGCATTCCTGGTTGGTTTAACAGCAATTTGGATGTAAGATTAAAAAATAAACAAATAAAAAAGATACAAG